TTTTTTTGGCAGATAAAATCTCATTTATAGCAATCTTAGAAACTCTCCAACAGCAAAGTCAGGTGCGAGCTGCTTTTCGAACTAGTCAATAGAGATTATTCTTCTAGGTCGGTCCAAGTAGAGTAAACAAAAAATGGAGAAAAAAAAAATGTGCAATTACCTTCTTATTCAAACATGTTGCTAGAAATTGGAATGCCACAACACTCCTAAGCTGCTTACTTCGCCCATCAGTTCCGACGATACTCTCCACTATTCTCAGGGAATTAATGTTGCAAGGAAGTCTTCATTAAGACATTAAATTCTTTTAGCCAATATAGAAGGCTGAAATAATATGCACGTTGAAAATACGGATATTGACGGATCATAGGACATTATAATGATTTAGGTAAACTAGTAGGAATTCTAACAAACATATACCACACCCTCCACTGTCCCGTATTTGTTATTCGCAAGTCCTTTTTGGGATTTCCCAAGCTAAAGTCATAAATGTTTGTTTTTACCATAAAATACGCTTCAAAGTAAAATCGGGGGCTCGACCCAAAAACCATGCATCTACAAGTATGGAAAAGTACATTTTCCTTTAAAAGAAAAAAGAAAAAAGAATTGACAGGCATGTTCCAGTTCACACATTCCATAAGTAGGTATATTTAGAATTGCTCTGGCATATCATTACTGGAGAATCAGCCTTGACAAACTTCACTGTTTATTCAGTGACTGACGAGAATTGAGTATCTGCAGCCGCGATTTCACCAATATTTGTATCAAAGACATATAAAGTTGGAGAGTTTTTCCTAAAAAGAAAAATCAGCCTGCCTTTAACATCTCAGAAATCATGATCTGACCACTAATAATGCATAATGGCAGTCCTTTCCCAGAATACGGTAGGACATAGTGGACCAGTGATCCTTAAAATTAAGAAAATAAAATGCTTGAAACCCAACCTAAAAATAATTGAATACAACTAGCCTTCAGTAATGAAAAAAGAACTTCTGATGATAAGATTGTTAGTATTACAACAGCTGTCCAACTATATGTTTTCCATTTTGCTTCTTTACAGTGGCCAAAAATCATACAAGTATCAACACATTTAAAGGTCTCAATGGGCCGCAAAAAGAGACGAACAAAATTATACATTAAACTATAGAGTATCAGGTAATAACCTGTGAGCAAGAGATTTCGCTACTTTCTTACAGCTGGCTGGCCATTCATCATCTTGAAAGGAATTTATTAGCGATAGCAAGCTTTCATGCAACACTATTGACAGCCCCAGAAGTTGACGATCTAAAAAGAGTGATATGATAGTGATTACCAAATCTTCTGTTTCTTGAGTTGAGAAAATAATATTAGCATCCCTGCAAACAAGAAAAGAAAAAGAAATTGGAAATCATCAAAGTTGTTAAAATTTAACCAATTTTAAAAGCATTTCAATTTCTAGTAAGAGACTGAATGCTTCAACCAGCCGAGTAAGATAAATAATCAGGAAGTACTACAGAAAATAAAGCACACATTCGGGCAATATTGTTGTAGTAGTACTACATACATACCTTCTTTGGGAACAAGAAGTCACAAACTTTATCCATGATCGAATGTTTTGTGGTGGTCCTGCTGTCATGGAATCTAGGATTGAAAGAGCAAAATCTGATCTGATTAAAATGCAACAGGTGCTGGGTTTTATAAACTATTTATTACGAAAACGATTAGAAGGATCTCCACACTTTCAAGTCATTTCAATAAGATCTCTTCAAAGGATTAATGAAAAGCTCCCTACATGTTTTCAGTTTTCTACTTGTCGAAATTTACAGAAATTCGTGTACATCCAGTCAAAGATCTAAGGATCTCAATTTATCTCAAAAGAATGCAGAAAGCTCTATGGTTTAAAATGCACTGAAATGCTTACCAGCATTTACCATATCAACTTCTGATGAAAGCTTAGAAGATGAATCCATGAGAAACCCATAAGCATTAAGTGCTATTTTTAGATCTGAATAGCTAGGTAACCAATCAATTTTGACACTAGAAGAATCGGCCTGTTTGACATCATAACACGTAGAACAAGACTTCAATGTCAGAAATTAATAGAGATTACATTTCATGCTCATGCAAAAGGGGGAACGGGAGGGAGGGAGGGAGACCTTGTCATTTACTGAGAGAATAGCACACCAAAATTCACATGCAGCTTCCATTAGCCTTGCCGTTGAAGAATATAAAACTGAAAAATAATAATGAAAGAGTATGATAGAAAATTATTGGCATCTGAAAAAATGATATCACATGCAACTACACTCACTTGAGTCAAACGTCCATTTTGCGATGGATTCTTCAACATGGCCAGATGCAGATACAAGGTGAAACAGCCAGCCATCAACCAACAATTCTTCAAGGAACTCTTCCTCTACAAATTTACGGCAGACAGATTACTGAGTTTGAATGTCTAATAGATAATACGAGTAATTTCATTCTATTATTATATAATTTAAGCATAACAAAATCAAAAGGCAGTTCCTACCTTTTTTTTTTTTTAACTAGAAACTTATTAGCAATTTCAATCCTATAGAAGCAAACAAAGCTAGAACTTGAAACCTTTCTCAACATTAATTTCAAATAGTGAATTGATCTTTTGATTCCAGAAAGACTGCAGAAGAACAGAATTTTTCAACTCTGGATGCTCCTGTTGTGGTATCTTTTGCTGCAGGTTACATGGAAAAAATACAAATAAGTTAGTAAGAAAACTATCAATAGTTGGTAAATTGTAGAGACATGGAAGAGCAATTGATCAAGTTTCCGGTATACAACCTGTTCCCCGAAAACCTGAATGCCCCAGAAGGGCATTTCTTCATCACCATTTATTTGATTTATCTGCAAATATATTATTTAATATAATTTACGAGTGACCATAAATAGGATGAATTCAAGATAAAAAACGATAAAGAATAAAACATGCCTCCTTTTGACACTTTTCGACGCATTCTGACAACCGTGCTTCTGCCGCATCATCAACCTCATCGTCTAAATCACAAGATTTTCGGATATTCTTTTGTTTGGATTTATTATCATTGAGCCTCTTCTGCTCCCTCTGGTAATCCTTTAAGAGGTCATCCAAACCAATGAGCTTCTTCCTATGGTTTAAGCAAAAAACGATGTCAAAACACATAAAATAATCACACATTAGTAACAAAATTTCTTGAACCAAAATGTCTCACGAAAAATGATAGAATAGCAATATATAGAACAATAGTGTCACGGTACTTGCAGATTGCATTTCAAACCCGTTGTTAACAACACTTGTGTAGATGTTCATCTGTCAATTGTACAGTTGCAGCATGTGACGAGGACAGATGCCGGATACAATTGCAAATTTGCGAATAACATTACAGGTAAATTTCCATACTTGTAATATATCATTGAAACAGAACCACTTATAGACACGAAAATTCAGTTCCTCTGTACGCATTGCTGCATAGTAGCACATGAGTATAAACTTTGGCCAATACACAATTGCACACAAACGCACACACATAATCTAGAATAGCAAATTTCAATTGTTCGGCAGTCCTGTTTCTCAATCGCATACCGTTATATGGAGCAAGCCATATGTGTGCAGCCAATGCATTCAAATAACGAATCACAGTTCAATTACAGTAAATCCCAAAAAGAAAAACAAAAGGAAAGTAAATACTGAGCTAATCTTCTCAACATAAGGCAGAGACATTAAGATTGTAAGAGGTGAACCCTTTGCATACGTCTGATACTGAGGGTATCAAATGAACCCTAAACAAAACGCATTTTCATTAGTAAACAACTGAGGGTTTTACTTGTTCTTAGCCGGAGGTGGAGAAATTGAAATGGGGTCTTCAAAGTCGAAGCCCAGTGGATCGTACGAGTCGTCGGCCATGTCTTTCTTCTCTCTCAGCAACCACAAAGACACACTGTCACGCTGATTTCTCTTCTCTCTCTCTCTCTCTCTCTCTCTCTCTCTCTCTCTCTCTCTCTCTCTCTCTCTCTCTCGCTATAGACAGTCGATTGAGTATTCTGGGCGCCAAAATCTCACTGTGATGATATATATTTTGGATACTGTAGATTGGGCCTTAAGGTAGATTTGGGCTTTGTGGGCTATTTCTTGAATAGCTATTTCTTCTAGGGCCAATACCATGATAAGAAAATAGAAAGAAATGAAAAGGAAAATTTACTCTATGCACGTATCAAAACATAAAGGGAAATTTTTACTTATCCAAATTGAAAATTTTGCAAATCTAGCATTCATAAATAAGTAATTGTGTTCCTACCTAATTGTCAAGATTTGATTACCTTAATACCTAAAAATCAGTTACCTAAAAAGTGGGCTCATGATTTCCAGTATTTCCAAACAAAATTCAGTTACCTAAAATTCAGTTACATTTAACTAACTCCTTTAATTCATTTACGTATTTAATAAAGAGAGATAAAAATATGTAATGTAATTTACGCAGCTGTCCAGGTAGATATATGTTGCATTTATGTTAGTATATGTTCAGTATATGTTACAATGAAAAACATGTAGTCCATAAAAAATTATGTCTACTTGTTTTTTTTTATACTTTTATACATAAAAGTATATATATATATATATAATTTAAAAACATATTATAACATGTTACTTATATTCTCTATACAAAAAAAATCTTCTAATATATACACACAACATATATTGAACCGTTTACAGAAAAATCTTGTAATACACTGAACATATACTCACTATACACACCACATATACTGCCTTACAAAAAAATCTTCTAATATACTGAACATATACTCCCTAAACATGCCACATATATTGCCTGTCTATACACGCAACATATACTACCGTGTATATATACTATAAATATACTATACATACACTAAAAATGGCTCAAGGGTTAGGTTCTCAGCCAAATCCTTCACCAAGCCCAATCGACAAATCTAGGGTTTTAGAACTGAAGTCATTGAGACGCCTTGTCCTGGTTTCCCCGAACTCAAACGACTCGTCTTTAGTTTCAACACCATACCGCATACCTTTCAGATAGCTCGGCCATGGAGTTCTTATCGGCTTGCTGAATGGTCTTCTGTTTATTGTGTTTTTGTGCTTATTTTCTCGTGTTTTATGTGATTTATTCGACTCGTTTTAGGTTAGTTTGAGTGTCAACCGGTCTATTTTATCGTGTTTTATGCGTTTTTATTTTTATTATGTGTTCTTGTATTTTTCTATATTTTCGCGTCTCTTTTGGTGTTTTGTTTAGGTCTTATTTATAATTTCGGGAAGACGTGCCATTCATGCCATTTCCGAACCATTTAGCCATTTAATCGAGCCGCGAACCGACCCGCGAAGAACCCCCATGGCACCTCAACACTCGCTGCGAAACGGTTTTGGCGCCCCGCGAGACGGCACCCGCGAGAACTCCACTGGCGCCCCATACTCGCCCGCGAGAACACTTTGGCGGGCTTCCAACCCACGCTCTACAAGCCGCACACTCGCAGGCGAATTGACGTTGGCGACCGACGAAGCGCAAGCACTCCAACACCCAATACCACACTCGCTAGCGAACCACTTCTCGCGGCCGGCGAAACGGCGAGTTGCGCCTCACAACATCAACACTCGCCAGCGAACTAGCATTGGCAAGCCGCGAAACGCGCACCTGCAGCACCCAAGGCCCAACTCGCCAGCGAACCACCGTTGGCGACCCGCGAACAGCAGTTTCTGCACTACTCCATGCTCAAACTCGCTGCGAACTCCATTTCGAGACTCGCGAACTGCAGAATTTCATTAAATATGTGTGTTTTTAGTGTGTGTTTGTGGTGTAGCTATAAATAGACATTTTACTTTGTATTTTGGGACACAACTCTCATTTCCCAACTTTTAAGTTGGGAAAATCCTCTCTATTTTCTCTCTTTCTTTTTTTTTTTTATTTTGGTTTGGAGCTTTATGAATCAAGTTTTCCGGCGAACTTCCGGCGACATTGTTTTGAGCAAAGTTTCAAGCTTTTGATTCCGTTTCTTCTCCCGAGTGCATGTTGGAGTGGGTAACTTAGTCTTAAGCCCCATTACCTCGTATATCTTTCTTGCTTTGGTAAATTGATATTGTGCTTGAGATTTTGGAAGAAAAGATTGTTGCTTTGGATCATGAATGTTTGACTAAGTGTGGTTGGAGTTGAATTCTTGCTCGATTCATGCTAGAGTTTGATTTGACTTCCTAGGGTTTTTAGCGAACATGGCAATGGTTGGATTTTTGCGTGCTTTTGATCATGATGACTCCGGTGAACCAAAATCTCTCTTTCCCTCTTGATCCTTCTAATCTTCTTGCGTGCTTTACTTGCTTTCGATTTCAATTTCGTAGATTAGCTTAGCTTAAATCAACCCTCAATTCAAGCGATTAGCATGTTTAGGACCTTTTCGGTTGTGTGAATTTGACGACTAGGTAGTGAACGAAGCTCCGAAGAGCCTTCCTTTGAGAACGACCCGAGTCGGGTACCTCGGTTACCACATGCCCAAAAATACTACAAACATCTCCTCTTGCCGCGAATTTATTCCTCATCTGTTCACGGTTCTAGCATGTTCTATCCTTCTCGGTTGTTGCATATCGGACGTGAAATTGACCTCTTATGTGGAGTACCGCCGGCGCCGGTCGGAGATTTTTTACCAACAATATGCGGTAGTTTTGTTTTTGCCATTGAAGGTTTTGTGTATGGTTTACAAAGATTGAAAACGAAGTGAGAGTAATTGGGAGTTGAAGCGGGTGTGGAGGTTACTCCCTTAATATTAGGGATACATTATCCCAATTGAATCACAAACAGTTTTCATATTTAAACTACAAAAATTAACCAATTAATAATTTGGTAAATATGCAAATAATTAGGATGAATTTGGTAGATATGCAAATAAATATATATTAACTGTATGTATGCAATATGAAGTATATTCTTTGGCAAATTGAGTAATTTTCTCAAACATAAAATATTGTATATGTATTAATATAATTTTCGATTTGCAAACAAACAAAATCTGACATAAATATTTGCATGTAATTTTCTCAAATTTTAGGTTACCTTTTTTAAAAATAATTATCTAGGTATTTACATGTAATTGGTAATTGCCTTAATTTGATGGAATTTATTTTCCTCTCTCTCTCTCTCTCTCTCTCTCTCTCTCTCTCTCTCTCTCTCTCTCTCTCTCTCTCTCTCTCTCTCTTACAATTCTACGCTTATTGTTTTTCTTCTCCTACAATTGAATTTTCTCTTTTTTTTGACTGGTCGAGTTTGGTAGTCGGGTCGAGGTTTTTTTGGATCGAGTTCTGAAGTCGGGTCGTGCAGCCCCGATTTTCCATCATCCGGCAGATGCGTTCTCTGCCACCATGTTCGACGCATAGAAAATCGCCGAAATTCGTACTTTTACCACCATTTTTATTATTATGATGAGCGATTACGAAATTATAGATTTTTTTATTTATTGCGTTTTATTTTGAATTTAATCACTTGAGTCGGAGATGCGGTGACTTCTTTTTTCGATCCATGCATTTGTTTTTTTAAGAGACACCGATGGACTCCGACGGCTGTGCCTCCCTCCACTCTCCTTTCCCAGCGGGAAGGTCAAGTTGGAGATGACGAAGGCGAATCCCAAAGCTCGGGCTCGTGGAGATGTCAGAAGTATATGTTGCATGTATAGACAATATATTTTTAGTATATGTTTTCTTCTGCTTGTACTTCATGTGTTTCTCATCTGGCATGTGCTTCATTTGTTTCTATTCAATTGAGGCCTATGTGATTTTCCCATTTAGCTCTGAACTACAATTAATTCGTAATTAATTTAATTGATCGATATCTCTCCATGTTTAAGATATGAAGTATGTTGATTAATTTAATTACTGCAATATAAGTAATCAACTTCTTTAGCGTAATAGCACCGAAAATAGTACCACTCAATTCTTTATCTATTATGTGAGAAATTATTTCGCCGGCCGGGCTTTACATAATAATCCTTCTTGAATTCATTTCGAGTACGTCATCAACCCAGCGGATCGGGACATGGTGCCCGTAAATAGTTTTAACAGCACATCATATAATCATTATTCACCAAAATACCGAGTGTCATCCTTATGAAAAAAAAAAGAACCACCTTCGTAAATCAAATAAATAAGTGATGAGTACATATGTCTGTTTATTATCTAACGGGTTAAGAACAAACATCAATTTCTGAGGTCTAAATTATTTACTTGGTCAGCATTCAAATAATCTTCTCCTTTGTTGTCCATTCAATACTTACAAATTACTAGTAATTTATCAGTCAAAGATCAACTGAATCAAAATCACACAACAGTCTTTTACCAACATGTTGTTCAATTTTGTCTAGAATGTGAATTAATTATTTATATTTTATAAGACACCGATAATGTGATCTTTCTGTTCGACACATCGAACCATATTATTTACAATATCAAATAAAGGAACTATGTTCGTATAAATAAATAAACTACGAACATTAACTTGACTAAAAACACACATCTCATTCAGAATGAAATTGAGAGTAATCACAAAACCGAACTTCTACAATATACTCCAACAAAGGGAAGAGCATGTAGCTCTCTTAGCTTGCAAAGCTCGATCCTGGCACCAATAGAGACCATTTGAGGGTTGTATGAACTTCCTAATCCAGCTAATTTGTGTGTTATTTGCTCCTCTTGTGACAAACTTTTGTGCTGCCAACTAGGCCATCACAACCTGCCTACACCTTTTGTGATTCTGAAGTTGATGCTTATATTAATTGCATAATCTAAGCCCTTGATTGACTAGCAAAGGATGTTTCTATGCTATCCCATATCTCAAATTCATATTCCAAACCAACAGTATTGTTGATATCATTTTCAATGAACCAAGTTAAGCAACGTTG